GGCTTGAATTCACAAATTAAATGCTTTCTTCTGTGAAATAATGAACAACTACTGCATTTCCATGCACTTTTGCCACCTCTCAGTGAATCTTTGTGTTAATAACCTTTAGCATTTGTATGCAGATACCTTTCGCCCGCTTTCAGTACCGCATTTTGGGCGCTTGAGGCTCACATTATTTGCTTTATACTTCTTTCCACTGGATCGTTCGTTCACCTGCAGTTTATTCATTGGTAAAACTGATACTTTAGGATATCTTTGCCGTTCTACTGCTAATTATAATGTGTTTTTGCATATTTATGCAAGACGTATGTTGGCGAGAGATTGTCCGTGTGTGTGCGTGTGTGTCTGCATGTGTGTATGTCTGTGTGTGTATGTGTGTGTGTGTTCGGATTCATGTTATCCACATTCAATACAGCAACAGCAAAAGCTAAGAAGCCGGAATATCATAAGAATCTCTCTAGCTCACCTACTATCCAAACAGTTTAAAACCAATGTTCACGTATGGGTGGTCTCACATGCGGGCACCCAATAAAAACATGTAACTTTCTTCGCTGAAAAACGATTTCAAATCAGGCAGGATAGGAAGCTGAAGATTCAGTGTCCTCTATCATTGTATGTGCAAAGGATTTCACATTCAGCTGTCATAAAAAAAAAACACTCACCTACGGATATACAAAAGTTAAAATTCAGGTGCTATTGGCGAAATGTTAACTCGGGGGCTGAACTTAGTTGATATTTGTTGTCCATATACGGGCATGTAAATATAAAATAAGCTTGAACATGGGCCTGCGTGACGCATTTGGGCACGCATTTGGACATCAAAGTATTTGTAATGAAAAGCGACTTCAACAATCAGTTAAGCTCGAAAGCTGAAATTTTACGAAAATATTCTGTGCCTATGTGCGACCGAATATATCAAATTCAGCTTTGAAGCATGCCTAGGTTTTGCGTAAGCTTAAGTGGATGTTTAGCTCAGGGCAGTTTGGCACCCAGTTAACTAAGTAACCAAATTGAGCAGGAAGCATATCTTTCTGAGGATGTCTTCTGCTTATTACTGGCCGACGGGCGCAAAATGAGCTTTTGTTTAAGCATGAATACCTGCATACGGCCTCATCAAATTACAACGCTGTAGACATACGCTAGCACACACGAACTCTCTGCAGGTTGGAATCATGCAAAAACGCATGACTGCACCGGCCAACTTGATACGTAGTTGCCTAAATTTTGTCTCGCTGAAATAGGTTTGACGTAGTTACGTAGTTTGTTTCGCTGGAGTAGGTTTGAATGATTTCATTTTTGAAGCAAGAACCACTGGAAAATACTTTGATAGTTGACGGAAGATTCATTCGCTTGTGTAAAGCCCTGGGTCTAATGCCACTTTTTTTTTATCAGTGAGACTAAGCGCGTTGAAAAGTTATATTCGCTGCTCCTTGCATGTTTGGTCCTCAGTTACTGAAATTGATTTTTAATTCGGTTTTCTGCAAATACTGCCCATTTGTGCTTTATGAATCATATTATTCAACGTCACTTCGTGGATTACAAACGAAGCAAGCCACAAAAACGAGGGGTAGAAAACAATTATAAGCTACTGGAGTACGAGATTGCTCGCGTCAAAGTTGAAATTGTTTCCGGATGGTTTGACTGAAA